TCACCTAATGAATAATTAATGAATTAAATTATTAATAAAAGATAATTAATGTATCTTTAATTCATTAAAATACTTTACCTCTTTTCTCAACAGTTGATAAATCATTCTTAATAACACTAGCATCAGATATATCCATTGCATATTCTTCTTTATATCTAAGTAAAGGAAAAAAATTAAAAATATAAGTTTCACTTTTAATGTATTTTGTTTTGTTCTTTACTTTGCTATAGAGGCTTCAAGTTCTGCTATTATTTTTGTTATTTCTTCTCCTTTTTGATGAGTGTCCTCAGCTTTGGTTTCCAAATCTTTCAATTCTTTACGTAACGGATTAACTCTCTTCAACATATCAGCATAACTCAACTATAGGAGAGAGAGAAGAGGATACAATATTATCAATACAATAAGGTACACAATTATTACAAAGAAATTAAATGAATAAAAATGCCTCAAGTTCACTTTTAATTGTGTTCATTAATTTAGCATTTTAGATCCATTTGGGGGTTTGGCTATATTAAAAATTTTTCCACAGCAAGCAATGGCTTTAGAGCAATTTAAAAAATTCAGAAAAAAAAACAAATCTTGATTGGAATCAGCTCAGACTTTATACACAACATAAGCTCATGTATGTGCTTGGAAAATGTTATAAAAATTAAGAATTTTCTACTTGACATTTTTGGTGAAATTTGGCCAACACTCCTGATAGTACAGGGACTTTGACCCAATTTTTGAGCAAATTCAAAAATTCATAAAAAATCTAAAATTACATGTCATGTCATTTGTACCTTGTTTCAGTCCAGGGTCTTGTAATGGTATTCACTCAAACTAGGCGTGCATAAGCAGTCTTGACTTAGCTACGTAGGTCTGACAGAACGGTTGCTCTCTGGTGTCCACTCTCATGGTGTGTTCTAGTTTCTTCACCAGCTCATTCAAGTACATATCATCACTGGGTCTGTTCTTCACTCCGGCCTGATTACTGGGAGAACTCAACTGCTGTAGCCAGGATCATCAGCACTCCTGTGTATCAGTACATGTGTCATTATCATTTACCGTATAGCTTGATATTTCGTGGGTCAATATTTTCGTGGTTTGCTCCTAGTGGGGCAATTCATGGTTTAATTTTCATGGTTGACAGTTTACATAGCCTGTAAGGGGATGGCACTTCAATGATTTTGTGGGCTTAAATTTCGTGGGCACCCCATAACCACGAAAATCACGAAATTTATATTCCACGAAAATTTCAAGCTATACGGTATTAATTCATTCTCACTTACATGTAATACAGGCATAGTCTTGGCTCTGGACAGCAAGTAGAAGTACAGTTTACTCGTCTGTATCAATTAACTAGTGCCACCATACTTCACTACCACCAATTACCCTGAGGGAGGGGCATAACTGTAACCATGATAACACTAATGATAACTGATAAGGAGTCCGACAATGAATACCAACCCATATGCACCTAGAACCTATTAATAACTATTAATAACCAGACATGGGGTCAATTACATTAGAAAGTAATATATTACTATTACTATTAACTAGAAAAAAATTCTATTACTATTACAATTACATGTTTAGTAGATGTAAATGTAATATATTACTATTACTATTACTCCATTAATTTCATTATTACTATTACCATTACTGCATATGCATGACTAAATGTAATCTAATTATATTACGGTTACATTATAATTTCAAATCAATTCTCTTCAAAACAAATGACCATTACATTTTACTTTCTCAAAAACAGTATGAGAAAGTCTGCAAAGTCTGCATTGTTCCGGTCTAAAAAATTTCCCTCCCATACTGAATAATCGTTCCACTGGAGCAGATGAAGCTTTTGTCAGAGCAGACAGACTTGCATGAATGCACATACATGTACCTGTACATGTACATTGAATACTTGTATAATAATGTATTACAATATGTACAATTACTATTATATTACTACTACTTAACTATCTCCTACTATTACAATGAAGCACCATGGTGCGTGGACTCGCCTGCTGAGATTCACCCGAGACATAATGTGTTACTTGTACTGCCCCCATCATTATATTATGTATATAAGCAACTTGATATTTGAAAAAAGGATAATAGATTTTGATAAAATGCAACAATGCAATTAGCCAATTACTGCACTGATCCATAAAATAAATTATAGGTGTGGTCAGCACCTAGCAGTGCAGTGCAGATAAACATGGCACGTGGGTAGGAGAAAGAAGAAAAGCTGAACTTTATTTTAGCATCTGAAGCTCTATTCAAGGAAAGAGTAAGCACAAAAAATTTGCCTAGATATTTAAAAGAGACTGAGATAGTTTGGTTGCTCTTGATTTCCCCAGTGCTGCCTGAAAATTTTTCGAAGAGGCTAAATCACAAACTTTGAGCAACTGTAACTCGCAAACAAAAAAGAGATTAGAAAATCCCCACATATTTTTTAATCTAGGTACTTTTCTCTACCTATCAATGCTAATCTTGACCAAATAGAGTGAAACACGAAGATTTGGCTAGGAAAAGTGGTCTATTCTTGAAAATATTCAGCTTTTGCTACCACGGATTGCT